GAGAGACGTTAAACTAGCTAACGTACGAGTTCCTACGCTGCCCCCTTCAAATATTTCTTACACGAACCTGAGTGCCTCTACCTTTTAATTTGTATGTTTGTTTGTTTGAAATTAAGCACAAAGCTACACAATGGGCTATCTGCGCTCTGCCCACCACGGGTATCGAAACCCGGTTTCTAGCGTTTTAAGTCCGCAGACATGCCGCTGTGCCACTGGGGGGGCCAACCTTTTAATACCAGACAGACAGAGAACTCTACTTAATATACATAGACAATGTTCTCCGATAAAAATGTTCTCAAATGACAGAAAAAAAGTGTTGTGACTTAGATATTCAATTCTTTAGTTGCTGTAAACTCACTTTTACGTTGGTCTCGATAAGAAGTCATTTTAATTTGATAACTGTTGGTATTTTTCAATCAGCGTTTTAAAAAGTTTCCCATTATATTTCCTGTCTGTTTTTATTTATGTTTAGCGATGGAAATGCAGTTTCTGTCGACGCCGCCAGGGTCAGGATCGTTTAGGTTTAGAACCACCACCAGGGGCTGGAATGCAGCGTGTTCCATCTGTTCGAAGAATGGTAAACAAAGTTTTATGTTATGTATATTTCAAAAGCAAATCGTGATTTCTTAATTTCAGTAAGTTTTCAGTCACAATTTAACTTTACTGATTACTTAAATCAATAATAGGAAAAGTCTATCGAACTAATCAATACAATATTTAAATATCAATACGTAAAACGTTTTTGTGCAAACATTTTAAATAAAATTAATCAAACGAGACATAATCTTTCTCTACCTTCCTGTTTTGTTATCCGCAATCTAGTATATCCAGAAATGTGAAGTTTGTTACAATATTTACTGTACATCTTTATCTATGATTTGAGGTTGATACCCTCTATCAATCGCTTCCTTTTTTGTTATCCGCAATCTAGTATATCCAGAAATGTGAAGTTTGTTACAATATTTACTGTACATCCTTATCTATGATTTGAGGTTGATACCCTCTATCAATCGCTTCCTGTTTTAAATACGTTAATCAAATCCTCATCATATGAAGAAACATTAATTGCCCTATATTTGATGTTAGAATTAACGTATTAAGTCATATAATTAATGGGTTGAAAGATTAAATTGAATTAAGGGATAAATGTGGTATATATATAAATTTGTGGTCTAAGTTATATTGGACAGACAAGTAGGAACTTAAAATTTAGAGTAAAAGAACACCAAGATGTAGTGAATAAATTAAAAACTGGTGAATCGGCTTTGGCAGAATATGTGTCGAATTTTAAACATGTTATTAACTGGGATAATGTAAAAATACTTAAACAGGTAACGGAAAAAGATGAACTTGTTTGTTTGTTTGTTTTGAATTTCGCGCAAAGCTACACGAGGGCTATCTGCGTTATCCATCCCAATGTAAAACTAGAGGGAAGGCAACCAACTATTGGGCTACTCTTTTACCAACGAATAGTTGGATTGACCGTCACCTTATAACGCCCCCACAGCTGAAAGGGCGAGCATGTTTGGTGGGACGGGGATTCGAACACGCGACCCACAGATTGCGAGTCGAGCACCCTAACCACCTGGCCATGCCGGGCCTAAAGGATGAACTAAACGGAAGTAAAATTTGGGAAATCATTGCTGTAAATGGCGCCATTTTAAAAACAAAGAAAATTATACGCGTACATAGGTTTATAAGAAAATTCGTTTGTAGAGTTTTAAAGTTTTTTACAAATGAATTATTGTGCAAGTAAAAAACGTTGATGTTTCGTTTGATTAATTTTATTCAACATTTAAATATTTTTTTTTAGAATTTTACTATTATTATTATTATTTGATAAAAATCGGAGCGATTTCTCTCTCCGGTTGCTTC